ATTAGGAATGAAAATGGGCGGTCTCTCATTATACTCTTCCCCATACAATCAATTCCAGAAAGAACGAACACTATATTAAATTGGAACATCTGAAATTGCGACAAACAAAGCAACGACAAGGGCAGACAATCTGAAAGCAGTGGAAAAAATATTTAAATAGAAATAGAAATCTGTTCCAAAATAATAAAATTCAAACCGAAAATTATGTATTGTATCATTGTTACAGAACATTGAAACGGTTACATATAAAAGGTTTGTTTTTTTAATAAAGAAGGAGTTAAATTTCTCTCTAAGAATTTCCATGGCAAGTAAATTATTGTTTTCTTGGAAAAGCCACAGAGTCACTGAAATGTTTGGAAACTGTTCGGTTTCGTTTGCTGCAAATGGTTGTGAAGTGAATTCCGGCGGCCTTGGAAACCTGTGTAGTTTATCTAACTTGCGACAGTTTTGGAATGGTCTTCTTCGGCTTTAGTGTTAGCAGCATTTTAGATGATCGTCTCTGTAATCTTGAAATGCATTTTGTGTGGAAGCAATATAATCTGTCGCATCATAAAATCTATTTAAAATACAAGAAAAAGTCAAAATAAAATTAAAATTAATATTAATTTTCCTTATTTAATTTTTGATGAGATTTTGAGGCAAATGTCTTTCGATTGGCAAGTTTTGGAATTTTTTCTTCATAGTATTGAAATCGTTATGTAGAAAATCGGTTAAGCAGTAAATTTATATCTTCCTCTTGGCAAATTGTAACATACTTGAAGAACAAGGTAAAACCTGAAATAATTGTATTTTTTCTAAACAAAAGTTTACTGTGAAGCGACTGTGAAGCAAAAGGGAACATTCATTCGACTGGTGTACTTATGTGACATATCTTGACGGTGTGAATGTCATAGGGTATATAAAGAACCTAAAATGAAATATGACAGAACCAACCCATCATTTTCGTTTTTGTTTAAAACGCTTCAGAAATTTCCTTGTGTGAGGTACCGTATTTAAAATTCTTCTTTCTATTATGCATGTCGTGTGCTATGTAATGTTACTTTAAAAGCTATAATTGCGGACAGTAAGCTCCATTTTGTACATTAATCGTTCATATCTGAATATTAGATTTTTTAACTGTAGAGAGATGTCCCAGGCAGGTGATTTTTTTTAAACATTTTACTTCTTGTTGTAGAAGAACCAAAGAAATGTTAGCTTCTTTCAGTTGAGAAATATTCTGTTTTAGAAATGTTGTTGCCTTGAAACGTATGGTTGTAATACATCATTTGTTTATTATGCAAATGTATCGCAATTTGGAAACAAGGAAATGTGTTCAAGAGTACATCTAGTTGACATTTTTTTAAAACGTACGACATTGTGTAAATGCTTCGAAAGTCAAGATAACCTGATAAATAACCTGCGTGTCTGTTATTACTTGTTGGTTAACTGGAAGACTAGAAAACCTGAACTATAGTATTGAACATTTGTGTCGAATTTCTGAAGCGAACTTGCCCACAATCTAATATTTAAATACGTGAAGATACAGAGCAAAACCACTCTGTGCAGTATTTGCTAGGATGATGACATTGCAACGAAATATACTAATATAGTATATTAATATAGTATGAACTTCATACTATCAAGATTGAAAGGTGTATCTGTTTAGAAAGAATGATTTCAAAAAGCGAGTCCGAAAAACTTTACTTTACCTCTGTAATGCGTTCAACCTTATTGTTCATTAGCTTCTTTCTATTTATAGATATTAATAAATTACAATCTTCAAATGTTGATTTTCAATATAATACTGATATAATACTTGATTTCAAATTCGAGAATGCGAATATATCATCGTCGGCATTAGTGCTGCCATTATGTGTAATTGGAGACATGAGTTTAAAAGTTGACTTGCATGTGAGTTAAGACACAACATCAAAGATTAATGGTATATCGTCCGAAAGCAGGAATATTGAAGAAAACATAACTATTTAATATAATAAAGAAACGTAATTAACTCTTATATTTCAAAGTAAATGATATTTAAATAAATCATCTTAAGTTAAATGACTAAATGAAGTTGAAATTCTTTTTTCCCTCATACAAAATTTATTTCGCTTAAGTTGATGCTACCTTTTTTTATTGGCAAACACCAATAAATCATTTTATGGGCCTCTTCCAAAAAGTTGCATTTTACATTCCATAAAGGTTTACGAGGGGAGAGATTGGCAAAATTCAAGCCAGGAAAGCAACGGGTACTAACATCTGAGATGGCAACAACTGATTCAGAGCAGGACTCAATTTCCACGTAGTCGTCCTCCCAACTTACTCTTTCAGTAACTATACGTCACGAGCTTAGAACTCGCCGCACGTGGGGCAGTGCTCCATTGGCAGAGGCACCGCTGACCTCTCCATCTAGCAGAATGTAACATGCACTACACTTCCAGTCCCGGAAGTGTATGGTCATTTGTCCCAATGACCATAGCAGTTAAAGCGGCCGAAAACGCAGTCGCACATCCATTAGTACTGACGTTGACACTTCCGTGTGAGCATTCGTGACTGACGCCAGTTCATTTCCGCTCTTCCATGTCGTGCAATCCCTTCCTGTAGCCGCGCTGTGGACGGGTCCATCGCGGGGCGTGTGTGTTCGAGGCCCGGGAGCAGCGACTGCGCGCGGGGCCTGGGAGGGCCCGGCCGTGCGCCCCGCGCGGGAAATCAATGCAACGGGTGCCCCGCCCCCCTCCCCCGCGCTGAGCGGTGGACGCGGGCACTGCGTTTTACGTAAGACTGTGCTATTATCTACTTTCGTACCGCAAAGAGGTGCGAAAAGAAGACCGAAAGAAGACAAAAATGGCCGGCGACCGTTAAGAATTCGTAATACTGCTATAATATCGATTAAATGAAACCATTCAGAGGAAGGAAAACTCTTTTAACCGTCGGAGTCCTTTAAGGATTTAACAGTCCCCTATCCGTTAACTACCATTGAAATATGAGAGCGTTCTCTCTCAGGCAGGACTCCCTAAAAATATTTTGCAATCTTATTTTAGTGTAAGATGGGGACAGTTGTACAACCGAAAAAACAGGGTGAATGTTGAACGAGTTACAATTAACACGGCCATCTGAAGCCCGGCGGAAAGGACCGTAATGGACGAAAGTAGTGTCCTGCAGCAGTGACAATGGTACTAAACAAAACACATGAACACGATTTTTTCCAAATAATAGGCCGCACACTGCCCAAGATCAACAAATAAATTAAATATTAACTAGAACTGTCTTCATGAATACCGCAATAACATTGTACAGTATACGCGGATATCTAGCGAAACTATGGATATTTCCCTCTTCGCGGGCTGCGCAGATTTCATTCAAGTTCTGTGCACAGTGCATGTCCAAAATGGGTATCCCGTTGCTATTTCTGAAAAGTTGAAAATAATTTAACACAAAGTAGCCGATAATGTTTATTATACAATGTCAATTACATGTTTTATTCGTTTTTCAATTGATAAAACTTTCCTTCTCTTACATTGCAATTTATGCATGGGCCGCCGTCAACCCCCTTTCCTTTCCACTTGGTGTTCTACTGGTACCGAAATGTCATTGGCATGCAACTATTAAATTATTTACCTCGATGTAACTTTCTTTTATTTTAATGTAACTGTCTGTGGGCGAGGATGGACGAGCCAGTGAATAGTTGTTAATAATAATAATAATAATAATAATAATAATATTATTATTATTATTATTATTAATGATGATGATCCTCTTCAAGACTTAAGATGTTATGTGTTCGTTGAATATAATCTACTTCAGATTGCATTCTAGGGACTGTCGGTGCCTCCAAAATACTTTACGCAAACTGTGGGCTGTTCCCAATAAAGAGATGGCTTAACTCCCGGGTCATTCTAGACTGGGAAGTGCAAGACAAGTTCTTACACAAATTTTGCGGAGCAAATTCTAGAGATGCGATGACTATTACGGAGCCACCTTTTGCTAGTTAACAGACGTTTTAAAAATACAAAGTGCTTGCGAGCGTTTCGGCGCGGTTTCGACCAGTGTGCGCCGCCCACGCGGGGTACGGCGCCGGCGGGGCGCTCTCTGCCGAGCCTCTGCGAACGGCAGGACGGATCCAAGTGTTCGGCGGGGCGTTTGAGCTTTAAGGAACACTGACAATAAAAGACGGATTAGCCTATGGGTATAGCCGGAGGACACACCGACATGGTGCATGGGTTCGAATCCCACCGTGGTTTCCGTTGATTGGGTTTGAACCATCAAAATACAGTAAATCATCATTTCGTGTCTCTTAATTCACGTCTCCAGCATGCACTATGAGTGGTAATCATGAATACGACTCTAAAAATAGTTGCCGCCTCTGAAATATTCACAAGTATGCAAGGTGTCCCTCTGATATCACTGAATTTTTAATTTGTTGTTAAGGATGAAGAAATCAACCTTTTTTAAAAGTTTGGTGAGTTAAAGTTTTATGTAGATAATGTATTGCTAAGAAAGTTGTAAAGAGATGATTTGTACAATTGCGCTTGGAAAACCCTATTCTTTTTGAGCAATCGCAATTTCGAAACATATGTCCAAGACACATGAAAAATTCTCTTTACAGGAATTGCTATGCGTTGTTGTCAGAGATAACTCTCAAAAATAAAAACTGCTACCCCGCGAAATGAAATATCGCGTCCTTCGTCCTCTCCACTCGTTCTCCACCCCCTCCCTTCCGCCACCCCCACTCCTCTCCGCACACACGCTCCCTCCCCACTCTTCTCTTCCCACACCTCTCCCTTCCCCTCTCCTCTCTCCATACCAACCCTGTCTCTCCCTACCCCATATCCACTCTTCTCCCTCCTCTACCTCCCCTACCCCGCAATTGAAATCTAAAACTGTGTTCTAGATTGAGAAGGATGTCGTAAATAAGTGATGGTTTACTGACAGGGAAGATTCTTTTTGTGCAAAGTAATCATGATTAATTCTTTTATTTCATTTTCATGTCACGTTTCGTGTTGCGCTGGGTGTGTTGGCAGGCGGGTGCGCGTGATGGCGACGTACATGGTGCTGCTGCTGCGGCTGGTGCTGCCTGCGCTGGTGGCGGCGTGCCGCGCGCTGCTGCGCAACCAGCGGTGCGTGCGCGAGCGGGTGGTGCCGGCCGTGTTCGCCTTCATCGCCAACAGCATTTCGCTCTCCTCGCTCTCCGGTGAGTGCACCCGGGCCCTTCTTCCCGTTCTCCATCTTCTCTTACACGTTGTCTTTAGCGGAATGTTGGCGATTAGGCTCAGGGTACTAAATATTGTCTTTTACTGGGTGTATTATTAAAGAAAGATTATTTTGCAAAGGATGTTTTAATGTCTCTGGGAAACACGGTGATTTTTTTTTAAATTGCATTCAACGCCCGTACCGAATTGCCGTACCGAAGGTAGGATTCCAACCCATAATCCTAGACCTCAGAGGTGCCAGTTTTTTAAATATCTTTACTTCGTAAATGCAATGCACTGAACGGTCAAAAATTATATTTGGTGTGTACTGAATAATACACACGAAAAAACATACCATTGTTTACATACGAAGGCTTTCTTTTTCTTTGATAGTGCTTTCCTCCTCCCTATTTGCTCGGTAAACTCTAGATTTTCAAAATCATATTTATAATATTCCCTGGAGGCATTTTGACTGCCATCAATCACTTTTCATAATTTTGAAGAAAACATGGTTCACAATATATCTCAATAGTTAGCTTATTAAATTTACTAATGACCAAGAAATTTATCCGATTCAATTCATCGCTGGCAGACCTGCCGTTGGCTTAGGTGCGCGAGAGGGTCGGGCTGCGGAAAAAGAGTTAGAGAAGGAAAAGCTTGCGATGCGTGTCGGTAGATTTGTGGAATGTTTATGGGGTCGTTTTTATATTCGAAGTTTCTATTTGTAGCATTTATCATGGTTTTCTTTGAAAGATCGAGTGTTTGACGAGACGCAGGTTTAGGTAAGCATAAACAAACTCATACTAATGCATACACATTCCTTCAGGAACATGTATGTACATACTCATTCACACACAAACATAAATAAAGGTGCCAAAAAGAAAACTTGACTTTAAAACCTTTCTACATTCTTGTGTTCTAGTGTTACAAAGATTTTTCTGAATGTGAAGTGACGATCAGTTCAGTGTGTAGAAGGCGCCGCTGCGGCTGCTGTTTAGTTACACCCAACTTGCTATTGTTTGAATAATATTTGTCTGCTTGACAGCTAGCGGCTGCCAGGAGAGAGGAGATTCCATTATCGTATTGGAGACTTCAAATTCTGATGATGTCACTACAGAGTTGCCGATTCGTATTAGAAAAACTAGTGGTGCTAAAAAACACGTATTTTTTGTCCCCCGTATTTTCACGCAAAAAACTAAAATTTTCGAAACGTTGTCTTAAGCTTATTTCAAAATCGATCTTTAAGGAACAATTTTCTTTAACGGAAAATCTCCATTTTTAATACTTCAGTTGTAGGTAGACTCCAAAAATATTTTGAATTTTTTCATTTTCTAAAAATCGCGGTTTTTAATGAACATGAAACCTGCTCCATTCATCACACTATCCAACAAAAAAATTTTAATAAAAAAGGATGGAACCACTCTTGAAAATTTGGAAAATTTTCATGGGATTTCATGTAAAGTACTCCCCAAAATTAAAATTCTAGTTTAAAATTAACGGGACCGCGACATCAGCCAGATCCATGTAGGAATATCAATTTTGGAGAAAATAGGCTGAACGATTTAGCTACTAGCATTGTTCACAGAAATAATTATATGCGCCGTCGTGGCAAACAATATTATTTATTAAAAAAATTAATTTTAATAAATGATATTGTTGTCAATGACGATGCATATAATTATTTCATTGGAAATGCCAACGAAACTCACCACAATACCTATATTGTTCACAGACATTTTCATTCCATTTTTCAGTATAAAGGACCCTCAAAACATGGATTCTGACAGAACAATGTGATAGAGGTTAAATTTAGCAACTTTTTTTCCTTACCAGGGCCATCTATACGTTTTTTCTGCCGAAAATTCGCCTTTTTTCGCGCAGCATTACATAACTTTCTCTCTACTCTGCAGGGAGAAAGTAAAAAATAAATATTACAGCGCGAACTAACTGAAAATTGAAGAGCGACATTACTTTTCTTTATGTATCGTTTGTGCGGTACTGTGTCGTCTATTGTTGTGTGCACTTATTGTGATGTTGTGATCTGATGTGAGATGCATCAGACGACCTCGTGTCTGACGCCCGAGTAAGTGGCAACATCCCTCTACCCTACCCCCTGTCAAGGAGGCAGAAATATTATTCGGACAATACCCAGTTCCTGTTTTTCACAATACGGTTGATATCTTGCGGGTTGGATTCAAGACTGTCCAAGAAAAGAGTTCAGTAATATTTTGAAACGTTACTTTCGTACAATTTTTTATATTAATCTCGAATCTGGAGAGAAATCATTTAAGAATGAATGAATGAAGAATTAATGTCAGAAAAAATTAACATGTCTTACAAATAAAGATTAATAACATTATTAAATAGCCTATTATGAAACTAAGTGCCCAAGAGGAAGTACGGTCATAAACATACAGAATAATTTATTGTGTAAGCAAATTCTTGGAAATGCAATTTGTTTGCATTCCACTTTTACCCGTAGCAAACGCGTTTAACGCCGTGAATGTTTCTGTTTTCCTTCATCTTCCCACAAGCTTTGAAGCTCGACTCAGAGAGATAGACTGGACTGCTATGAGATATTTTACAGATCTTTAGAAGCCACTTTTTATTTTCCAATAAGAACGAGTTTCGGACATGGAAGTATTGGCACTATTGAGCTAATATATATTCTATCTGGATACAAACATGTGGTAGTTCCTAGAGGTGTTAAAGAAATGAAAAATATAGGCCCTACATATTTTAATATTGAACTTCCATTCTGTTTTTTAAAATAATTTTACTGCTGCTGTTACCCTAAACATCAGAGCTGAAAATAAATTTCAGACGTAATCTCTAAAGACACACTTTTAATAGATATTATTTCCTTTGCAATCAACTTTCCTAAATTCTAATTACGTAAGAATGCAACTGATTGCACAGTTGTTATATTGTAAAACACTAGTTTTGATTAGTAATAAAATAATGGAAAATGAAACAAAACTTAGACTATGCAAGTATCGTAATTATACTCCTTTCTTCCATAATCTTCGGAACCCCAAAAGCACATCCAGACCCAATTGACACGTTTCTTGCGCATGTGCACAACGGTACCTGGGGCAGCAAAGTCATTGTGCGCAGGCGCGTGTTTGCTAAAACTCTTGAAATCGCAAAGAGGAATCGTGTAAATCGCGACCAAAGGTAGCACAGACAGTGCAGAGCTTAGGTGGAAGAATATAGTGCTTCAATTAGTTAGTTTTTAATGTTTCGTGTTTATCAATACTTAGTATTTTCGCTTAATCTGCATATTGAATATTTTTTAATTTCGAACAGCGTGTCAGAAACCTTTTTAAATTCAACGACGGTTCTCACTGTTCGCAAGGTTCTCACTGTTCCTTCCAGTTATCACCTGATGTATAATGGTTAGACAGTCACGGAACAAGTATTTTCCTTCTTCCCTATTCTAGGTCCTATCTCATTTTTGTGTTCAGGATTATTTACCCCGATAATTTCATGTACGTATTACACAGCAATTTGTTGGAGTATCTGAGAAACATTATGCTCGTAGAAGAAATTAATAATTGCATAAGTGCTAACAAAATACGACATTATCACCAAAACATTTTTCTGGAAAATGTCAGGAAATAAAACACAATACGTATTAACTTTGATAGGTAGTAAGTGGTAGCTGAAGTAAACAAATAGTGAGTAGCAAAATGTATGGTAAAAAATCTCTGACATATATTCACAAATGCTTTGACAAATGCTCTGGGCTGACGCAATTCAATTTGGGCTATTTAATTCAGATTATAGATTTATGTACAATATTTTGCCATCTAAAAGGCACTGTAAATATGATATTATGAATTGAAGTGTATTGTATTGTATTTTCACTGCTAAAGTATAATTGAAAATAAAATTCTGTATAAAATTAAGGTAGTAGACGAAAAAGGTAGAGATATTTCCACATTAACTAGTTCGCCTCATGCTTGAGAATGATCGCTTCGCGCTCTAAAAGTATATAGACAAAATAAATTCAGTACCCTACCTTTATGACATCGGTCTCGTTTGTTAAAATTTTAAGTTTGTAAAATGTGAAATTCCGCAATCAATTATAACGGAACTAAGAGAATTATATTGACAAGGGGTCTATAGGAATAGGTTGTGTGTGTGTGTGTGTGGGGGGGAGAACCTAAACGTGTCCTGATAACGTGACGGTTTGGCCTATTCCAGATTAACCGCTTACAAACATGAGCGTTTTTGACCACCAACTGGCATTTGACAGCTGGTGGCTGACAGGGGAGAGGGGGTTCCGTTATCCAATCAGAGGCTTGAAATTGTGATATCACAGCAGAATTGCCGATGGTTATTAAGAAAAAAATGAAATCAATTAGCACAAAGCAACTGAAAGTTGAAGAGCGCGATTTGGTGCCTTTACATCTTTGATTGTGCATCATGTGTGCGGTTTTGTCGATTATTGTTTGGTGCTCTCAAGAGGATTTGTTTCTTGCTTCTGCTATTAATGTAAGAATGCTACACGACCACGAGTCGGCCGCACGAGTAAGGAGCAACATTGTTCTATCCCACCCCTAGCTTTCAAGTGGACAGAAATATTACTCTGACAATACATTGTCTTCTCTACCACCTATTTCGGGGACCATTCGGAAGCTTTGAGCTTGTCCTGGCAGGACGGGACCTGCAAGCAGGCGGCGTGTAGATATGCGCCGGACCTCCCGTTTCATTGCACCTCCACCTCCTGATAGAACTTGACGCGCCCGGAAACCTCCGACAGGAAATTCTGTAACGAAATCTATCGGTTTCTGATTTTATTCACGATAAGTCTGTGGTTTCTCGCGTCTCTATTAAGAGAGTTCGGTGCTGCATAGGGCAGTGCACACTCGCCGTGGCAAAGACAAATTTTCTCCAGGAGGGGAACACGAGCCACGGGGAAGGCTATGTCAGACGCCAGCACTGGAAATTAGGGCTGCGGTAAAGACGGGCGTGCAAAACTGGGCATTTGTGAGCGGGATACGGTTAAATCCCAGAATGCCGAGCACGGACGAGAAAAACTATTGCGCATCTTAAGTTTACATGCAGAAGTGAATGTGTTTATTTATTGCGAGGATTAGCCCGTTAGACCTGCTCTTCTGCCTGGACACTTTCAAAGATTGCTATTGAGTTATAAGGCAATATATGTCTGTAACGTAATTATAACTATAAGAAATGTGTAAAAAAATTACTGTATTACTCAGCCATTAGATGTCAAAATTTACTGCTAGAATGTAGAGAGCCTTAGAGGTAGTAATATCTTTATAAGTATTTGAATTATTTAAGAGAAATGATAAATATTCAAAATATGGCTATGACTATCTGATTCCTAGCCCGTCAATTTAGTACGTGTGATACATAAATACAACTTTATTAGAGAATTTTTAAAAAGAAAATAATGTATAGTGGAAAGATAATAGAAAAAAAAGTAGGACTCTTCGGCGGTTGATTGGCTCTTTGTTACGCGTTCTTCCGTGCGCAGGCAAGCCCTCGTCGGAGGAGTCGCTGTTGGGGCCGGAGGCTTCGCCGGGGGCGGCGGAAGCGGCGGCGGCGGCCGTGGAGCCTGTGCTCGAGCGCAGCGTCACCTGCAACGTGCTCTTCGACCCCGGCGACGCCGCCCGCCGCGCCGACGTCATCTTCATCCACGGCCTGCACGGCTCCCTCGAGAAGACGTGGCGGCAGGTACGCTTGCGCACAGCCAGCAGAACACTGCCCAGCGTTACGCTAGACCCGCCACTGGACCGGTTTTTACCTGTTGGCTGCGTTTCGGCCGCCTGAGCCTCCAGCGACCTGAGTCATTAAACCTTCCCCTCTCGTGGTCGGTGGTGGCTGTGTGCACAGCTCTACCGCTTCTAGTTGGAGCCATCGAGTGGTTTTGTATGAAGGCAGCCCTTTTCCCGTTTTCACTCAGCAGCGCTTCCCAGTGGCTCTGCTACTGGCAAAGTATTATTTTGCTGCTATGTCGGTTAGTGGGGCATTCGCGCCACCGCCAGCTGAACACAGTACACAAATGGCAGCCTTCGCAGCTAGGCACTCGCGAGGGTCACTGAGCTATGCGGCCGCCGGCGTCCACAGCTTTGGCGCGTGAATCCCTTCTTTCTCACGCTCAGACGCGCTGGTCGGTGGCTGTGTGAAGAGGCTTGGCACTTTTCGGCGGCGTTGCAGAGGGACTCCAGTGTGACGTTTGTGTTTTGCTAGCGTGGCGTGCATTTGAGAATTGCACCGTGGTGATTTGCATTCCGCTTAATTGGTTCGGTGGATGCCTGTTTGATGATGCACCACGTTCTGTTCACTGGTCTCCTTTGAATATTTAACCAATCGCGCCCGCTTAAATCACCTGAATAAGTTTTCGTTGGACGTCGTTCAACCAATACGTACACAAAAATTGTCATTTTATTTTTAAAATAATAAGTATTACTTGCTTAACTCATGCGAGCATTCCGCACTTCGTAAAACATTGTTTAAAAATAAAAGTAGTTTCATTATGGATCCTAACTTCGAATGCTCGGCCCCTAAACTGTGCTTTACAGAATTTTGCAGTCGATAACATTGTAATATTGACTGCATTGACTGTAACATTCTAGTATTGCTGAACTTTGAGAGTAAATTTCACAGAAAATAAAATAGTCAATTTAATTTACGTTACGCTAAGTATGATAGGAATAGTGAGTGAAGTTGAAGTGCCATCTGCTGCCTAATAATCACACTACGGGTAGAGGAGCCGCTACCTGCGTTTTTTGATTGAATTACTGAAAACGTTTCTTTTAAAAAAATGTGGTTTAGGTCTACACCATTCCCAACTCTTCAGTTACGCACATTGCTGGTGGAGACTCGCGTGGTCCGAAGTGTAATGCGTGTGTGGCCGGCGTGTGCAGGGTTCGTGGCGCGAAGGCCCAGCTATCCAGCCCCTGCCGCTCCGTCGCTCACCGCCGACGCCGCCGCCAGAGCTGCTGGACGCCGTCTTTTCATCCGCACCGGAGCAGCTCTGTCAGCAGGACGAGGACGAGGAGGAAGAGGAGGAGGCGGGACGGCCGCCCCCGCCCCCGCGAGCGCCCACGCCGCCCCACTCAGCTGCCCGCCCGCCCGCCGAGCTGTACTCGGATTGCTGGCCGCGCGACTGGCTGCCCCAGGACTGCCCTGGTCTGCGCGTCATCGCCCTCAACTACACCACGGACCCTTTCCTGTGGAGGCCCCTCTGGATGTCCAAGAGGCACAGGTGAGGCTCCTCAGGCCACCACCCGCCTCCTTCCTCTGGGACCTTTTTGCAAACGTGTCTGGCTTAGAGTAGGCCTCTAAAAACAGAATTTACGAGGGTTGGGGAATAAGTCAATGCAACTTTGGTTGCGTGAGAATAGGAGCACGGGTTGAAAATGTGAAATAGACACACACAAAAACAAGGTATGACATTTAACTACACACCAAGATTGTGTTTATCTTCGTAATAATTTCATAGTTACTATCTCTGCAGTACCGATTTCTTTCCGTTTCTTCGATGTGTTCTCAGTTATGAAGGAATCGAAATTGTTATTTATTGAATTCACCTGTATATTTCTCTAGCCTCGCAACAAAATTGAAATATCATGAACCATTATCAGTAAGTTGATTAAATGAATATTCACAATAAAATTTGTCAATATCTTCAGCAAGCCATAAATGTAAAATCGGAACGAAGGTGGATCAGCACAGGTATTTTTTTACTTGGAAAAACCATATTTAGCCTCATTCGTCCCATCTTCAATACCTAGCAAATATAACTTACAGCGATGAGCACACGCGAAGAGACTTTTTTCGATAAAAAGGAAGTATATGTTCAAGCTATGGATTTTCGTATCCCAGTTCCCAGATCACATTTCTCCCACACTTTGTTCTCGACATTCATCCAGTGTTACGCCACGCCTGAATTATTAAATCGTCATTCAGTGTGTAAAGTTGGTCATCATTAAGCATCCACAATTATCATAATGTTCTGTAAACTACGCAACGAACTAATCGACGAAGCTAAGGTCAAGCCTGTGGCAACTGAACATTCTTAATTTACAACAGTAACTGCCAATTGGGCTAATATCTTGCTGCAGAATTCGGGTCATATAGGATCATCCTGGAACACTTGTTTATGTGCGGACATGGCTAATTTCCTCTCCTTGTCCCTCTTCCTCCAGAGCTCTCTAACGAAACGTTGGGAGGGAGTCGCGAACCCGAGACCGACCAATTAAAAGCGCCCGCAGGTCAACGAGATAACGAGACAGGTCCTCGCCCCCCCCTCCTCCCGCTGCAGCGATGCAGCCGCTTGTGCTCGATGACGTCGCCGCCCAACTCCGCCATTTGCCTTATCTTAAGGAGCGTATCTTTTTCGTCAAACGTTGAGGCAAAGAGCCACGTACACGCTGGCAGGGACCCCCCAAATGCAATACACACACACACACACACAAACACACCAACACACTAATACCACATAACACAGCACACATACACACATCACATAACACCACAACATACAACACATGATCATACACACAACAATACACACACACATAACACACACATACACACACACATACATCACACACATACACCCACATACACCATACACACACATACACACACCATACACACACAGGTTACGACACATACACACATCACACAATACACACACACATGCACACACACATGCCACCCACACATGCATCACACACATGCACACACACATGCACACCACATACACACACACTGACAACAGCCTGCACATACACACAGCCATACACACACATACACAACACTACATCACACACACACATTATAAAAGGGTGTTGAATAGAAGCTCGTGCTATAAAAATCTATTACAAAATTACTCGTCCCGTCAGAATAATTTAATTATGGTTATTTCCTTATTATTGCTGCAATTGAATGGTGGGAGAAATGGTTCAAGAGAGGACGACGATAACAAATGGAAGATGATAGAGTGGTTGATAGAGGGGGTATTCACTGCGCGTTCGTTTCTTCGTCCTAAATTTTACGCCCCAATTCGCAATTGCAATTTGCGCTACGCGTCCGACGCCGGCTACCGCACGACCTCACGCGTATTCTAAAAACTAAAATCGGTAAAATGTTCTTTTGTAAAACTACATTTTGATATGGTACAAGTACTGTTGTACCATTCGCTGTTGCCACTTGGTTATGTTCCTCAAGATATTCGATCTCATTCTTGTTCCCTATTCTTTTTAGCTTTCGAACGAAAATGTTACGAATTCATTGAGAATAGGGACCCATTGACTTATTTCGCTGCTTAAATCTAATTTGTAAAGAAATGCTTCCGCTTCTTGCCTTTCGGGTCCTATCTTCCATATATGGGAAGTTAGGTGACACACTAACGGGGTTTTTCTTGGGGATAAATTTATCAGGGGGTGGTTTCCCGTTACCTTCCTGATATGGAATGATGAATAGATGATGATGATGCTAGGGGGGGTGACAAGGACGGAACACAATACAACCATGCCCGAGGCGGGACTCGAACCCGCGATCTTTCGGTACGAGATCGCTAGGCACTACTGCTCAGCGATCTCGGCTACCGGATGGCACACATGCTTCCCTACATAACAAGTAAATTAGATTATACCGTCCATATTTTTTTCTTCTCATATAGTAATGTATATGTGCGTGTGTATGTGTGGTATATGTGCGTATTATGTGTGTAATATGTGCTGTGTGTATGTGTGGTATATGTGGCGTGTGTATGTGTATGTGCGTGGTGTTGTGTATGTGCGTGTGTATGTGTGTGCGTGTGTTATGTGTAATTGTGCGTGTGTATGTGTGTATATGTGACGTGTTGTAGGTGTGTATATTGTGGTGTGGGTATGTGGCGGTGTGTATGTGCGTGTGTATGTGGCGTGTGTATGTGCGTGTGTAATTGTGCGTGTGTATGTGCGTGTGTATGTGGCGTGTGGTATGTGCGTGTGTATGTGTGTTGGTCTGGTGTGTGTCTGTGCGCTGTGTATGTGTGTATGTGCGTGTGTATGTGTGTATATGTGCGTGGTTGTATGTGTGTATAGTGCGTGTGTATGTGTGTATATGTGCGTGTGTAATGTGTAGTGCGTGTGGTAGGTGGTATGTGCGTGTGTATGTGTGTGTCTGTGGCGTGTGTATGTGTGTGTCTGTGCGTGTGTATGTGTGTGCTGTGCGTGTGTATGTGTGTGGTCTGTGCGTGTGTCTGTGCGTGTGTATGTGTGTGGGTGTATGGTGTGTGTCTGTGCGTGTGTATGTGTGTGTCCTGCGTGTGTATGTGTGTGTCTGCGTGTGTATGTGTGTGTCGCGTGTGTATGTGTGTGGTCTGCGTGTGTATGTGTGTGTCTGCGTGTGTATGTGTTGTCTGCGTGTGTATGTGGTGTGGTCTGGCGTGTGGGTATGGTGTGTGTCTGCGTGTGTATGTGTGTGGTCTGCGTGTGGTTATGGTGTGTCTGCGTGTGTATGCTTGTGGTGTCTGCGTGTGTATGTGTGTGTCCTGCGTGTGTAGTGTGTGTATGTGTAATGTGTATGTGTTGTGTATGTGTGGTGTGTGTAATGGTGTAGTGAGTGTGTGTAAATGTGTATGAGTGTGTGTATGGTGTATTGGTGTGTAAATGTTGTATTGTGCTGTGTGTATGTATGTGTGTGTGTATGTGTATCGTGTGGGTATGTGTGGTGTATGTGTGTATGGATGTAATGTGTGTAGGTATGTGTGTATGTGTGTAGGTATGTGTGTATAGTGTGTAGGTATGTGTGTATGTGTATGGTATGTGTGTATGTGTGGTAGGTATTGTGTATTGTGTTGTTAAGGTATGTGGTGTATGTGTGTAGGTATGTGTGTTATGTGTGTAGGTATGGTGGTAGTGTGTGGGTATGTGTGTGTATGTGTGTGATGTGTGGTGTGTATTGTGTGTGTGGTGTATGTTTGTGTGTATGTGTGTATGTGTGTGTAATTGTAATGTGTGTGTATGTGTGTGTCGTTGTCGTGTGTGTATGTTGTGTATGTGTGCTGCGTGTGTATGTGTGTGTTCTGTGTGTGTGTATGTGTGTGTGTATGTGTGTGTATGTGATGTGTGTGGTATGTGTGTGTGTATGTGTGTGTGGATGTGTGTGTATGTGTATGTATGTAGTGTGTGTATGTGGGTGTGATCCCTCCACGGGTACTCAGAGGGGCAGATGGGACTCAACAGTGAATGGAAGAACAGTACAAGCCTCCCGTAACTTGCAATTTCCTTTAAAAAATTTGGGAGATGTTTTTTTAAAAAAAACTGGGGTTCAAGCGCTATTAATAAATTCGATATTTGAACTTTTTTTTCACAGCAAATTTTTTGAGTTTTCAAAAAGCTTCATTTAAGTCATTTTCAGTACATTACTCACAAATAAAACCAGTGTCGGTGCGAATTGCTGGAAATGTGCGTATCACCGGCTTGATAGATCTTCAAAAAATTTACATTTGTGTAATTTTTGAAAAAAACTAAAGATGCACCGAAATTAACTTTGTCATATTAAAAGTGTGCATTACCACTAACCGTTTGACATGTTTGAAGGAACATTTGGAGCAGTTTTTGAGAAAATGACGTTGTTAGAAACTTTTCTATCAGAGTGTCGAGATTTTAATTTCGAAGAAGACGTTTTCACATGTCCACGATGTGATGGTGGTGGCATATTTGTACATTTGATCTTAATGATACCTGAACCATTTAAAAAACGTTTTCTACATTTATAACTTATCAATCTCTGGACATTCAACTCTGAGGGTCTCAAGCGCAGAGTAATATAAGCCGAAGAAAAAGTTTTGAGGAGCTAAACACAGCCGCCTGAGAAAACCTACCTTTTGAAGTCGAACACACTCTCATCTGTAAACTGTTTTCTAAACTAAAGCAAGGTGTTGCACGGAGCGGTTGTATCGGTTTCGCTGTTGACCTAACAGTGATCCTCTGAAACAAAATAACGGCACAGTTTACGTTTCGGCGAACCACCATCTACGCCCCGCTTACTTCACACCGTAAGTTACAATGCACGAGCACTCCACACCCGTGCGCGATTGCTCGTCGATGCTAGAATTTCGCTTCGCACTTACAGCGGAAATGCAGTGTTTTCGCCTAGACAGTTAATACTCTTTCGTAGAAGAACGCAACTTTTCTGAAACATTAAAAGGCTTTTTGCGGGAAGGGGACACAGGAGCGTGGGGGAGTTGTTTCACGGGCCCGCCCAGAG